ACAAGAAACAGCTTCCGCAAGTTTGACCCGCTGTCTTCGCCCTGATAGAAAGTTTACGATCCATGGTATTAACGATCGCCTAACGCCAATATCAACAAGTTTTTGGATAAGAATGTTATGGCCAATACGGTCGAAGGCCTTTGAAAAATCCAAAAAGCATATGCGAAGAAAATGACCAGTTGAATCCAAATGAGAAAGCCAACAATGCAACATGTCGAGCAAACAATAGGTCGTGGATGAACCCTTTAAAGAACCGAACTGTTGTGCGTCAATATTATTCCTAACGTCAGAGATCATCCATCTAACGACAAAATCTTCGAGAACTTTAGAAAGGCATGGCGTTAGTGAAATGTGTCTTGTGTCACCCTCGTCAGTTGGTTGTTTAACTATTGGAATGGGAGTAATATGTGAGTCTTTCCATATATTTGGAACAATCCCGGATGTAAGTGACATATTGAAGATTTTCGCAACAGGTTCAGCAAAAAGGTGCGCAAATTCCTTCAAAAGGCGACCTGGAATATTATCAGGACCACATGTTTTGGAGGCACAGACTTCGTGCGGTTCGATGTAAGGCACTTGATCAACAGCAGGTAAGTATGCTGGTAACGTGGTTATATCTAGTGGTGGAATGTCTGCGTTAACCGAGATGTAAAACTTGTTCAAGTTATTGGCCAGTTCTAAATCTGATAATAATTCACCTTCCTTTTCAAAGGTAAGTTTAGTACACTTCTGAGATCGGCCAGACAACTTATTTACGACTTGCCACCACTTTCGGCAATCGTCTTTCTTAAGATGTGGTACTTTAGTTTTGTAATATTCTTTCTTTCTTACGGCTATTTCGGTCTGGACCTTATATTTCAAAGTTCTCCACTGCAGAACATCTCCACCATGGAAAGCTCTTTGACGGTCATTAATAAGTTTTTTGATAGACACAGACATCCATGGTTTATCGGAATGGCAAAACCTAACAGATTTCAGGGGAATAAGACTGTCAAATGCTGTAGATACTTGGGATGAGAAGGAATTAGCTAGGTCATCTACGGAAGGGCTTGGACCCAGATTACTGAACCATTGATGCGTGCTGGCCCATCAGCCGAAAGAATTCAAGGCGGATAGTGGATAGCGGCGTATAAGACGCTTAATCGGTTTAGGTTTGGTAATAGCATCAACTTTATTAGGAACCCATCGTACTATATTATGGTCAGCAGACCCAAGCGGAGCAAGAATATGCGACTTGTCATAAAAATCTTGTAAATCGGTGACGATGAGATCAAGGGTAGATGACCCCCTTGTAGGAGCAGAAACGACTTGCTTCAAACTAAGACTACGGGTTAGGTTCGAAACATCAAAATTATTAAAATCACCAAGGAATACGATTCTACAATTAGGATAATAATTCCTAATGGAATCCGTTGTGTTCATCAGATATTCATCAAGATCACGTAGTTCTTCAGCAGTTCTGCCAGGGGGGTTATACACAACGCAAACTGCAATAGCCGAGAGAGGTCTTGGCAGTCGTGTCGGGCGGATCCATAACCAAAGACATTCAAAATTCGGATTTTCAAAATCTAGTCTCCGTTGACAGGGAATGTTTTTCAAAGAATAAACGCATACACGATGTGTATTTTTATATTATATATCTTCAATATTTATCTTGCAGTATTTGCTCGCTGTATAAACTTTGTAATTGTGATGTCTAGTAAATGTCATAAAATTAATAAATATATTTTATTGTAGGTTTATTATGGTCTGAGCAGAGACATGTGACCTTTTTAAGCGAGGTTGCAGCAGAGGAGCTGTTCACCAAGATGGTGAAATCAAGAGAGAGAGGGTCGGGTTGCCAAACCGTTGCCAATAATTTAAACCCAATTTTTGACAAGGAGTTGACACCCTGGTCTGTGAGGGACCACTACAACAGCTTATCAAGGAAGCACAGAGCAAGGTTGGCAAGAGAGATGCGAGAGACAGGATAAGGGAGGGGGGGGGGGACGAATTAACAGAAAGAGAAGAATTGCTGGAAGAATTGATGCAAGTAGAAGAGGAAACAGAGTTACATATGGAAGAAGAGAATATAGCAAGGAAGAAAGTTATTGAAATGGAGAAAGCGAAAGGAACAGAAATGCGAGAACGGGCAATGGAGTGTTTTAAGGAGTCGAGAAAGAGGTTGGCCAAGCAATAAGGAAAAAGAGCGAATGGAAAGGAAAGAGGAACTACAGCAGCAGGATCGGCAACAGCAGCAGTTTGCAATGCTACAGCATCAGATGGTGGCTTTGATACAACAACGGCATCAGCAAACACAATTAATGTGTGAACTTATTCGGAAAAACCAAGAATAAACATTGCACCAGGTTAATATATTTAAAACAAGTCAAATTCATTTATTTATACAGTGTTAACAGTTTTCAACCATATAAACAATATTAATGTTATTAATATAATATAATTGAATGTGATTAATTATGTATTCAATATTAATATAAAATAATTCAATGTATCAATCATTCTTAATGTATTCAATCAACATATTAATGTAATTCATTATTTATACCTGGGGTTGGTACCGAAGAAAAGCGGAAAAAAAACTGTAGTAAATCTTTTATTTACCCAACCTCAACAATGATCAAAATAATGTTTACCCAACCCGTGTGTTACAGACTGTACTTCATAAAAATTAAACACACAAGATTATGGTGACAGAAATCAAGTCCCCTAAATTCTAAAAGCACTCAAACTCACTGAGTGTGCCAAAGCAATCACGTCGTTTCCACTGATCAATGATAGTCCTTCCTCAATCACTAATGGTCTATTTTGGTACAGAATGTGTTGTACACATTTTTCTTCATATTTTCCAATGCATGGTATTAAAAATTTTGGTTTTATTCTATTTTATAGCTGACAAACAGCCGTAATTTTTTTAACAAAACTCGGGTATAAATAATGAATGGTCTCTTAGTTCATGTAATTTAAGCAATTTACCAAAAATACTCGTCCAGTGTAGGTGGTTGAAGGTCAAATGTTTGTGAGACAATATTACCATAAAGGCAAGCGCGAGCATTCTCAAGTAGTGCAGAAACAACATAAATCTTACCTACTGCTCTCTTCTGCCTCTTAAAATCTATAAGACTGAAGTATTAGGTTATATTTCCAAACATCCACTCCACTGACACTCTAACAGCACTCATGACTTTGTTGTAGCTTGCATTTCTGGGGTAATTCCTCTGCTTGGGAAAGGTGTCTGAAGATGAACATTTAATGGGTAAGCTGGGTCACCATACAAGCAAAGAGGTTTGCCATTATAATGGGCAACACGCCTTAGGTTTGGTAGCAAGCCAGATTCGTATAGCATGGTACTGTCGTGTCGTCTTCCTTCATATGGACCAGCAAGATTTTAAATGAGGTCATGTAATATTTCAAATCCGGCTATGAGGACTGGACTAGATTTCAAATCCGCGCAATTTGATCAAGTCCGAGGCGAAGCCGAGGACTGGATCAAAATGCGAGGACTTCAAATCTAGTCCAGTCCGAATTGGGAGATTTGAAATGACATCTCATGCGAATAAATCACTACTTAATTAATTTAGATCCAGTCCGAGGACTGAATTAATTTTTTTCTGATTCAGTCCTAGGACTGGATCAATGTACTTCATCAGGTATCCAGTATTATCATGTGAGCAGAATAAAACAATATGGTTGGCTAATTAACTCATGAATTATTAATGAGTTTGAGATTTGGTATTACCACACTCTGAAACTTAATGGCATGAACCCTTTTGTGAGCATTATACAGCACTCGTTGAAGGTACTTATTTGGGTCTAGCGATCCGCCGAACAGTGCCATCCACAAAACCAAAACAGTTTGGAAGAGGTGCACCGTGGTTGTAAATGGTAGTTGCATAGGCATTAAGTTGCTCAGGGGATAGAAATGGTTGATCCCAACTTTCGAGGCGATAGTGATGATACTGGTAGACATGGTTGAGGACTGTATTGAAAATCAGACACAGTGTACTTGGGTTTTTTCCAAAGCGAGGGCCATATCAAAGTGCCCACATGGGTAGGCCAGTCTCTTCAACAGGATACATAGGGCTTCCATACCATTACATACACTTCCTTGCACACAGACAATCTTCCCTGGTATTTGCAAATAATTAACAAGTAACTCCAAGTCACTTTTTGCGAATCTTAGCTCGGTTCGGCATTCCATTTCCAGTAGGGGGAAACAGCTTTTGAACGACTGTAATCATACAGCTACGAGAACTCATCGTCAGAAATATAATTCAAATCATAAGCAATAACTGCAGAGTCACGAACATCTTGCAAACTACGACCCGCCATTGATAAGATCGTTTAAAAAATAAAAATAAAAAATATAGGACACGACAACATGACGAAAGCTGATGTGAGTTTTATTTAAGGTGGCTCCCTACAGTTCTAGTTTAAACAAGGAGAAAAATATATTCTTCTCATTGCGATAGATATCTTCATGTTTGTCAAACATTTAGCTCTTTTTGGAGAAAAAACTGATAATGTAGCTATTATGTGTCCAAACCATAAGTTCAACATAAACCACACACGCATTGCTATGGCAACAGCAGCGTGTAAACTATAGTAGTCATGCCCAAAAAATCAGGCAAAACATGAAATTAATCAAATTTCCTTCGGTGAAATTTTTTAAAAACGTTCAAGTAAGTTTGGAATACTAAACGGAATATTATATCAAAAACAAAGGTAAGTTGTAGGAGAGGGTTTTTATAGATTGACAAATTTCTGTTCCAAGAAAACTGCTCTGTAGAATTTTTTTTAAATTTCGAAATATTAAAAAACGCGACTTTCAGGTTCGCTACACAAAAAATTAAAAAAATTCAACGAAGGAAATGAAAGTTAAGCGATAGGAAAAATGCAAAAAACTTACGCGGCCAATAGAAATTTCAGTTCGACAAGAATGGCATTTGCGCATGTCCGTGTGTGTTGCGTGGTGGTCTCGCGCGCCATTTCTTCGCATTTTACTGCTCGCTGGCGGTTTGTTCGAAGTATTGCACGATAGCAAGCAAAATTCGCTTCGATTTTGTCACTCTTGGCTTTTTGGATCCACGATTGTTTGTCGGCGGGTTAGACAGAACTCCAATCAGTCCATTCCTGCCAAACCTATCAAACAGACTTTGTAAATTCGCGAAGCTCAAGCCACTGCTGGCGATTTTCTCGACCATGCCTTTGCTGATTGTTCCATGCGGTTTGGTGTTGAGTGTCTGTACAAGTTGATGTCGTTGGTCTAGATACAGATTATCCTGGTAAGCTTCGTCAAATGGATTTGCTTGACAATGTGTGATCAGATCTTTTTCCGAAAGGTTTAACGGCGAGGAGAACAGAATACGATGTAGAGCTTTCACATCTTCAAGCGCGTCGTGGGCATCAAAGCCTTGATCAAACAAAGCCTTGTAAACAGCAGACTGGTTTAAAGCACAGCTATCTCCATTTCGATCTTTCAGAATCGATTCTTTTACTAAATACTCGAACAACGAGAGACTATCTCCAAAGAAAATGCCCAAAGACTGAAATTGTGCAATAATATTGCTGTTAATTGCTGTTATGAAGTATGACTGGGACATCAAATCGCTTGGCATTGTGCACAACAAGAACTGTACAGACCTTGTGTGCTGTCAATTTCTGGCATTCGCGAATGGAATTCTCGAGGTAGTGGATGAAACGAGATAAAACTTCGTCACAGGTTAGTGCTAATACAGGATTTGATTTTTTAAATAGTACTCTCTTACCGTCTACAGTTTTTTATCGAAAGGTTGTTTACTCTGGATGCATAATAATCAATATTTTTATTTGGCAAAACATACTCGGAAAATGACGCGAGAGTTGTCTGATTTATAGCTGCCAATTGGCATAATTCTGCTTGTTTACCTGTCGTATTTGTTTCAGTGTCGAATAAAAGAATGTTATAAAATACTGCAGCATTGTCGTCGAATGCTATGGGAGAACATTGTGGTCTGGGGGTATAGGGTGGGACAAATACTAGCTTCATAGGAAGCCAGTGTGTCAGCTGGTAGGTCAGGGCAAAATAGTTCTTCATTTGCAGTGGTACTGGTACTAGCTGTAGGTAATGAGAGGCCAATATTTGTCTCGTATGTCTTGCCCTCCTTCTTTTCACTTGATAGTATGCCGTGTATTCGTTTGGTGTGAATTTCATTCCTTCGCTTCTTGAACTTCAATGATTTCTTTCTGTTGTTGTCGCCCTCTCTTTTTCTCTTCATTTCGTTGACATATGCCTTACAGTTAGTACCAGGTTCAATCCCCAATGAATTCAGTGTTCTACAAATGTACCCATAACCAACATTGGTTTGTGCCACTGCGCATGCCACACGAAAGTCATTGCTTTCGCTCCCACCATAGAATCTAATTTGGGATTCTTTGAACCAACTGTGCTGTTAATTAAAAGACTCATTTCTCCGAGAGTTGGCGATTGGAGCAAGCTTTTCCACCATGTTGTCAGAATAATATTGACTGAAAATGCCATTCTGGGCTAGTTTCAATTCCTCGCCATGCAGGTCTTTCCCATATGGTAGATATGCATGCTTGTACATAGCTGGCTCCTGTTTCCATCGACACCATGACTCACTGCAGTCAGTGTGGATTCCAAATGCATGGGGTACTATGCACTTTAATGATGCTTGCATTGATTTTGGTTCACCCTTGTTTTGGTTGTCAGAAACTGAAAAGCATTTCACGAGATAGTCGATTACTTTTGTTGACAATGATAAGCAATCGGGAAATCTTTTCATTTTGGCCAGATTATGTAATCTACTAGTTAACGATCTTTTTATATGAATTATATCACTAAACTTCTCAACTCCATATGGTACTTGTGCATGTATAAAACTTTCAGTTGTTGAGTCATCATCCTCAGTGTAAGTTGAGTACTTAGCATTGTGTTTCGTTATGTTATTAAACAGCTGAACTGCAGACGTAGGCTCCATAGCTTTTGATGAACCACTATGATTTATTCGGCAGTCATGTTTACGGGGAGTAGAGTTCATTTTTTTGCATGATCACAAATTCTGCATGTTTTTGTCTTTGTTGTGTAGTCCATTATTTTTCCAGTGTGTAAGCCCATTACAGCTCCTTGTCCTGTGTTTGAATTAAAACCTTTGCCACGTTTCTGCCAATCCATGTCATACGAGCATGAAATTGGAACAAGATTATTCTCGTCTGGTGTTTCACCAATTTTAATTGCATGTTCTTCTCTATTTCTATAGTTTCAACACATGTGTGTCCTGCAACTGCTTCAACGGCTTTACCAGCTTCTCGCTCACGGGTTTTGAATGAAGCCCGGGTCATGGTTGGGATGTTCATAACTGCAACAAGATGCCATTCAAATGCGTCTCACCAATTCCGGTATGAAGACTGGCTAAAACTGACTTTGTATTGATGTCATATGCCATTGGACCAGAGGCTCCAGACAGACCAGACTTGTGGGCGAGTGATGTTTCAACAACATTGGTTTGACTGCAAAACTTACATTGAATATATAGCTTGCTCGCTAGACCATATAACTTTTCTTGTTGTACATTGCTCAATGACAGTGGTCCTTAAAAATAATAGAGTATTGCCATTGTTTTTATTGTTTATTTCATACCTTTACATCAATTCATAATTATAATAAATTTTTGTTTGTGGAAACAAAACTATTATATGTTTTATCTTCATGCAAACATAGAAAGAACTTATAATATATTTATACAAATTTAATCAACTGACACTTGTACATTTTGAAAACAGTACTTTATTTTATAACTATATAGTGACCAAATTATATCAAAATTTTGAATCTAAATAATTCTGTATTTGAAGTGGAGAAATTAAATGCTTCACATTTGCCTTTGTTTACCTTCTTTGCAAAATGGACAACTCTCCAATCCTTTTCTCAGTTGGTTTATGTCAACAATTCAGCTTCCTTGAGGTAAATTCTCTTTTATTTCTTGTTTTGCCTAATGCCAAATCATGGAGTACGTGAATTATAAATTTTTAAACGGACCTAAATGTTTACAATTATAAAAACGTCTCGGTGCCTACCGTGCTTTCCGTTGTATTTATCACGATGTCCGTCGCTGGTTCAAACTCTTCGTTTTCGTCTTTGTTTTCCTCAACCTCGCTTGAAATATTTTCATTTTTCCAAGATTGAAGATTTTTCCATGATTTATAATATTACCTCGATTTCTTTTTTGTATTTTCTCAAATTTTCCCGTCAAAGAACGATTTTTAAAACGCGCTGCCATGTTTGTTTTTAAATTTTTATATATCGGCATTTAAAAATCCCGCGCCGTTCCCGCTCGCGCGACATTTTCTCGCACCACGCGATCCTGTCCCGCAACGCGCGAATTGTTTATCATTACCAGTCCCATGCTTTAACAACTGTAGGGAGCCATCTTAAATTTAACAAATATAAAACATTTTCCGTGTTGATATACAGTTATATTAACACGAGTGGAATTGAGAAAACGAGAAATTGTATGGAAACACGACGCCCGAAGGGCGGAGTGTTTTCATACAATTTCGAGTTTTCGCAACTTCAACGAGTGTTGATATAACTATATATCAATACGGAAAAAATGTTTTATATTTTTTTTGTAATATAGCAATGTCAAAAGCCCGAATGATAAGAAAAATTTCCGTGTTTACAAGCGGCGGAAAATTTCCCGTGTTGACATTGAGTTATATCAACACGGCTCTTAGCCAATCAGCGTTCAGAATTTACAAATGCTATATTATAAATTTCTATATTCAATGGTTTTCATCCAACTTCATAAGAAAAAAATACCTGAGAACTGTAGCCTATCATAATATCATTTACATAAATCGTTTCCTATTAAACAAATGTTTATTTGAAAGTCACTATTACGTGTCCGTTTGAACAATATTACTTAACTGATAAAAATATTTTGTCCAATACCATCAGAATATTATGGTTTCATCTTGCCAATTCGGTTTGATAACTTGGTTCACGTTTTATTTATTGTCATTAGACAAATAGTAAAATAGAGTATGAGTTTATTTAGATCATTTGCATAGCTGTTTCTAATGACAGGAAGAAACCTTGAAACGTCGCAGATCACTTTTCAAAATAATTTTTTTTGAAAAAAAGACGGCGTTCTCGATCTAGTTTCCCTCGGTCATATGACGTCCTCTCGACGTCCGCGTCTTGTTATCTAAAACCGTCTATTATGTTCTCAGACCTCTCAACTCTCACGCATTCGGCGTGAGTCTCACGCAATTCGCTTCACTCTTGCGCTCTCGCGCCACGTTTAGTAAATCTCACGCATATAGCAGTTTCACAGTATTTTTCAATAAATAAATATAATATTGTATTCTTAAATTCACATTATTAATCATTATACGGATCGCGAATCGAATATATAATCGCGTGTTATTGTTGCTGCATATACGGCCCAACATTTTGGCTTTTGCTCGCAATTTGTATGGATACAAAATAGTACGCATATGTAAATACGGCGGACGAAAGGCAGAATCAATCGGAGCAGAATTCTATATGTAAATTATCAAAGACAAATTAAAGCCGATTACTGTATGTCACAGAAATACAGTTATTGTAAAGTGCCTTGTCTTAAAGGAAAGTTATGAAGCAATGACGTAAGTAGATGATAGCCCCCATCCAGCGGAATACTAATGAGCTTGTGATTTTCCCGGCATTTTTTAGGGATAAGAGTGACGTCATTTTGGGAACATTGTCTCATAACATTTGTCGCGTGATCTTTTGGAATTTTGAGATGGCGTCAGCACAACGTATAAAGAACGGGAGTTTTATATTTATATGACCATCGTATAAAATGGGACGAAGCAACCATTTTGGCGATTGATAGTCATAAGTTCTCTCGCAAAATGAGAGAGTCAATTGAAATCGAGAAGCACAATACTATAGATCAGGAGGGAAAGCCACTAGATAGTACGTGGCGTGCTCTCTTTAATGTGCAAAATTAATTTCTCTTGTCTTGGATGCGCGCGCGTTAATTGGAATCACTTCACTACGTTTGAAATGACGTGGTTGATGTACCGTTTAATTTAATTAAATTTCAAATGACGCGAGCCAACAGATCACGACACTCTTGTATATAAAAAGAGCGTGTGAATTAAACAAGTCATGAAGTCACATATTTTTAGCACTGATGAAGATCCGGGCTTACGGATCGAAAGCTTTGCAGTAATAAATTTACGTGGTGTTTCCACAAACAAAAACAATTATAGTTTTATATTTATTTTGAAATGGAAAGTTTATGTGACATGTTTGCTGCGATGAGTATTTCTTTGGAGGTGCCAAACGATTTGGTCGTGGATGAAGTATCTTATTAAGTGAAGAATGTTTGTGATTTGATGAATGCTGTGTTTTTCGAAGCGGTTGTTTGTGAAGTTCGGAGATTATTGAAGGAGAAACGTTCCGGCTGCGAAGTCGATCATCCGAGTCAGAGGAGACACGACTGTATTATGCTGTCAGACGAGGAGGGATGGTTACTACATGGTTTGGAAGCAGTGGAGCGTGTGATTGAGCGTGGAGTTGTGAGGAAACAGTTTCTTGAAGCTATTCGGGTGATGAAATTGGAATATTACGGGCGTGCGAAAGAACATTATGCGAACTTGATAAAGATCGTGAAGTAACACTTCATTTTTGGGGGGGATTTGAGAGGAAGTTTTCCTGATTATCAGGCTATTTTGAACTATCTAGAGTATTGGAGTGAGGATCATTGTGTATAAGGGCACTTTTACGTGTAGTTTAAAGTTGTAAATTGTTTTTCAGAACAATATAAATGTCTTAGTTCATTACTTTGCTATAAAAATTTGTTTATATGTGTCTAGTTTTCAGCCGAGAAAACGTTTGGCATTCCAACCTCTCATTAAAGAGCGGTTTTAATACGGAAAGCAGGTAGCATAATACCAAAAACGTAGAAAAAATTTATTGAGCTAAAATACTATTACTCGTCAATATCATCAACAGTTCATATATATACAGCAAGAGATTTGTATCTATGTACGTCATAGACGATTGATGCAATGATTGTGGGACATTACGAATGAGCCTATACGCATGTGAACTGTGCAAATGATTTTAGAGCGAAATAATGTTGCTACGATACTGTTTTGCTTGCATAAATTAGGGGTTGGGCTTCCCTCGGGGTACGTATGCGTCTTCGGATTTTGCTCATGCGTCTTCGCATTGAGTTTCCATTTTGCTCATGCGTCTTCGCAGTTTTCGCATTTTGCTTCACATTATTCGCATTTTGGTTCTCATTCTTCGCATTTTGCTTCGCATTCTTCGCTTTAAGGCCCGACTAGGCCCGATGGCCCGGTAGATCCCAATAGGTTAATCAGAGTACCTACCCATACAACCTGTTAACCCTTTAAGTGGTAATGCCCCCGGACTCGCCCTACCCTGTCTAACGCCAGGGGGAGAGCGCTCCCACTTAATTAATTTATTTGTCTCTAAAAAAGTCGATGTGAGATGAAGGTGAGGTGGATGTAAGGTCAAGGTGAGGTGGATGTAAGGTCGATGGGAAGTCGATGTAGGATCGATGTAAACAATTTACGGAAGATGCCATAATGATCCCGTTTACAATTCGAGGAACAGATGCACGAATTATGGCCCAAAAAGGCCAAACGAGCTGCATAAAGGTCATATGGGCCAAAAAGGCCATACGGGCAAAAAAGGCCACACGGACCAAAAAGGCCACCGGAACATCTCAGCCTAGCTAGCTGTTAGTCCTTAATAATAAAAGTACTTAAGACGAAATGCGCATGCGTACTCTCTCAATGACGTTCAAACTATTTCACCTGTATTGTCCCACAAGCAAATCAAGCATATATCCACTATATAAGTAACCACTCTGAGAGCTCTCATTTTTCATTTCTTAAGAGCGAACTATGGCTTCTTACCAGTGTGATCGATGTCTGAAACAGTTTTCGTCCTATTATAATGTCAGGCGACATAAGGCGAGCCATTGTGCATATGCAAAGATTGACGATAATGCGTCGATGGATGGAGGAGGAAGTAGCTACTCAGATGAACAAAGTGTGGACTCTTTTCCAGTCGAAGAAAGTGTTACGGAAACTGAGGAAGATGAAAACAGTGAGAATTCCGAAGATGATGGTGAAATAAAGGAAGAGATTGATCCTTCGGCAACCATGATTGACCATGCAAAGGCGACCGTTCGACCAGAGTATGATGAATTTATGAAAACGTTGCAAATGGATGGGCAAGAAGAAAATGCAGCTAAGCAGAAAGCCTTTGAAAACGTTCTCCCTGAACTTCAGAAAGAATTCGCTGACGTTTACGTGGATAATTTACGATGGATGAATTCACTTAAAAATGATCCTGTGCATAGAAAGATTATGGAAACGAAGGATACATTAGCGAACGAAGACTCGTTTGATCGTGATATATGAAGCTTTATCTGCAGCGGTTGACAAAAGAAAGTTTCTGTTGAAACAGCTTTTAGAAGATCAAGGACGTTTTTCAGATAGTGATGAATCGTTGTAATGTTTTTGTGAAATAAATATTTATTAAAATTGTATTGTCATTGTTTCATTGCAGCAATACGTCCTTGTAGAAAAATGGACATTAGAGTTTAGCCGTACCTTCTACCGGGCCATCCGGCCTAATCGGGCCAAAAAGTGCCATTTCGGGCCTAGTCGGGCCTTAATGCGAAGAATGCGAAGCAAAATGCGAAGAATGCGAAGCAAAATGCGAAGAATGAGAACCAAAATGCGAATAATGTGAAGCAAAATGCGAAAAATGCGAAGACGCATGAGCAAAATGCGAACTCAATGCGAAGACGCACGAGCAAAATCCGAAGACGCATACGTACCCCGAGGGAAACCCAACCCCTAATTTATGCAAGCAAAACAATATCGTAGCAACATTATTTCGCTCTAAACTCATTTGCACAGTTCACATGCGTATAGTCTCATTCGTAATGTCCCACAATCATTGCATCAATCGTCTATGACGTCCATAGATACAAATCTCTTGCTGTATATATACGATCTGTTGATGATATTGATGAGTAATAGGTCTTTTAGCTCAATAATCTTTTTCTACGTTTTTGATATTATGCTACCTGCTTTCCGTATTAAAACCACTCTTTAATGAGAGGTTGGAATGCCAAACGTTTTCTCGGCTGAAAACTAGACACATATAAACAAATTTTTATAGCAAAATAATGAACTAAGACATTTATATTGTTCTGAAAAACAATTTACAACTTTAAACTACACGTAAAAGTGCCCTTATGCACAATTATCCTCACTCCAATACTCTAGATAGTTCAAAATAGCCTGATAATCAGGAAAACTTCCTCTCAAATCCCCCCCCAAAAATGAAGTGTTACTTCACGATCTTTATCAAGTTCGCATAATGTTCTTTCGCACGCCCGTAATATTCCAATTTCATCACCCGAATAGCTTCAAGAAACTGTTTCCTCACAACTCCACGCTCAATCACACGCTCCACTGCTTCCAAACCATGTAGTAACCATCCCTCCTCGTCTGACAGCATAATACAGTCGTGTCTCCTCTGACTCGGATGATCGACTTCGCAGCCGGAACATTTCTCCTTCAATAATCTCCGAACTTCACAAACAACCGCTTCGAAAAACCCAGCATTCATCAAATCACAAACATTCTTCACTTCATAAGATTCTTCATCCACAACCAAATCGTTTGGCACCTCCAAAGAAATACTCATCGCAGCAAACATGTCACATAAACTCTCTATTTCAAAATAAATATAAAACTCCCGTTTTTTATACGGTAAAATTCCAAAAGATCACGCGACAAATGTTATGCGACAATGTTCCAAAAATGATGTCACTCTTATCCCTAAAAAATGCCGGGAAAATTACAAGCTCATTAGTATTCCGCTGGATGGGGGCTATCCATCTACTGACGTATTTCATTAAAAAACACCAACTCTCTTTATGTACGAAATGCCATATTTTCAGACCCCCGGACTTTTACAAAGGTGTCATCCACATCCCCAATCTCACTTTTAACTTCTCTGCAAAGTTGAGAGGTCTGAAGGCTGGTATGGGCAAATTTAATATATAACAGGTTGCTCTTATTATTCTGGTTCAATGCTTGAATCAGACAATCAGTTGAATAGATCATGAGCACAAATTGGCTGGATTAGATGTTATACCATTTGCCAAAGCAAGATATAGGAACAGTTTGTTCAATAACAGTTCTAAATCAGCATTAAATTCATAAGTTGAGCTTTTCCATACTTAGGATCAACAATATAAACAACATTGCCATCATTGTCAGATTCAGTCCATTTTCACAAAATATATTCGAATTCTATAAAAATAATGGTAAAATACAGTGTATTTAACTTAAATTTAACAGTTGATCTCAAGAACGATCAGCATATATGCCCATGCTTCGAAATAAAACAAAAATAATAACGACTCGTACAGTAACCAGACACAGTGCTAAAATGCGGTGCCCGCCTACAAATAGAAGAGGGTCTGAATGGGGTTAACTGACTACATACATTTGTCTGAATTTTTGACTGACAACTGACAAAATATCCTAACTGACAACTGAGAATGATGAAAAAATGATGAGTCAGCCTTTTTGCAGTAACTGACTACTGACAGCTTGCAATATATCGCACTGACAACTGACAACTGGCTTAAATTTTAGCTGACAACTGACACCCAAAGACCCCCATTAAGACCCTTATAAAACTTTCGGCGTTCCCGCCTACATGGACAAGTAAAGTTATATTTAGCACGCTACATTCTGTCGGCCGCCAGTTGGTCCGTACGTTAGGGTCGAAACTGCGTATTAAAGCCTTCAAAATAAACTATTTTGGGCTCAAATACTATCGAAATGAGGAGAAAGGTGAGACGAATCCACTGGCACACGGCCGAAAACGAGAAAACCAACAATTCCGAAGTTATCAAGGATCAAACGGACTGCATTTTTACTTAGTTTAATAGATTTTGAGCGATTTGTAAATAATACAATTTCGCTTATTACAACTGCACATTAAAACCTTCAAAATATAATATTTTGGACTCAAACTACAAACAAAATAAGGAGAAAAGTGAAACAAATCGACTGGTATACGGACGAAAAAGAGAAAAGCAACAATACGAAAGTTATCAAGGTGAAATGTATTGCATTTTTAATTTGTTTAATAATTTTGAGCGATTTGTGAGCAATACAATTTCGCTTGTCTTTCAAAGGCCATAAATCGCTAAAATCTGTAGTTTAGTAATACATTTGACATCGGTGAGTATAATTTCTTACGCTGAATCGAACGGTGGCATTTTTGTCCTTATTGGGCGCATAAAACCAGAGATAAGACGCAGCAAAAAGTCAAACGTAAGAGTTCGAGATTAATTCGAAAGAAAACTTTCCTCGAAGAAAGGAATTCGGAAAACGTGAAGGTTAATTTGAGCGGCTTGTCTTTCAAAAGCCACAAATCGCTAGAATAATATTTTCCATCCGTAAACACAACTTTTTACACTGATTCGAACAGTGGTATTTTTTCCTTGTTTGACGCATAAAACCAGAGATAGAGCCTAGCAAACAGTCGATCACGAGAGCCATTAGTATTAAATAACTAATAAATTCCTAGTCGTACAAGGAATTTTTGGTAGGCGATTAAGGAAACGTATTGATGCGAACAAACTAACAAACAAACGGACAAACTAACGGACAAACTAACGGACAAACTCACAGGAACAATATAATGCGGTGCCCAAGTTTGGGAACCCAATTTTCCTCGCGCCATAATTCGCATGCGGTCGACTATTCCCGCGATGTGCGACATAATATACCAAAAATGCCGCGTTTTCAAACCGCGATTACTCGTCAGTTTGATGGGGACAATTCATTTTTTTAACTTCTCATAGGAAGAACAACTCTTCCTGAATACGATGGCGTGTCTTTTATTTAATTTACTCATTTATAAACCCAATTGTCCCCAGCGGTTTTGAAAGCCACTTTTGACACTTGTGCATCGACCCGGAAAACAGGTCAATACAAATTGCGATTATGAAGCAAAAATCGTTAATTCGACTCATATTTAAAACAATTATAAAAACTTACCTTCAAAAATACAAACTTTTCGTGGCCAAATATCGAAATAAATATCCACAACTTTTCCAACTAACACTGCGAAAAATCATGATTGTGAATATTAATGATTGCAATGCATGCTGGGAAGAGCTTCCAACCTCCTCTGAGTTTAATTTGTGCCCAATTACACAATCGCATGTGTGATCGAACAACATCTGGTGTTGTCAGAAGTATAAATTTAATATGTAAACAGACATTTAATAGTTTTTTTGGTATACTGAACAGGGCCTTTTTTAAGGATTTTCCCGGGGGGG